AATCTACTTTGATCCTCTTATTAAAGGATTTACTATACAGATAGAATTGAAGGAGTTAACGTATATGATCTAAAAATGTAAATTATTAAATAGAATTTACCATCTCCAGGTATAAAATTAAAAATTGAAGGCTCTTTCATATATATGCTTTCATTTAACTCTGTAAGTATATACTTAAGATAAGACCTCAAATTATTCTAAATAATAAGAAATTTTAACAGCACTCAATCACTAATAGATATTGAGTACACAGGATTTAATAATACTTTTGTTTTATATTTCGACAATTCAATTAGTTTCTATTATACTAACCCTTTTTATTAACCTAAATTAATTGATTATTTATAAATATAAAATTATAAGGTTTTATCTTCATAATTAAAACTCCAGAATTATTAGTATTTAATTGTTGATATGATGATTATAACTGTAGAAAGTACTATAAAATACATCACTTAACTAAATATTGGCTCTTTTTCAAAAAATATTTGCTCAGCATAGTTATAAATACGAACAGATTAAAATGATTTAATAACAAAAAATCAATAAAGTGATTATTTGAATTTATTATCACTAAAATAGCTCTTAATTTAGAACATTATTTATAGTATGGATATAAATAATGGCGAATAAACAGATTTAAAGTATCCTTTTGTTAGCTCTAGCTCTGTGACAAACTAGTACTCGCTAAACATTTAAGCTATAAACAATAATAGTATTTATCTAAATATTCAAAATAGTAGAGATTAAAATATTGTAGAGCTGAAACTATAAAACCTAAAAATTTCCTTTAAAAACTTAAATAATACTCAGTTCTTATTTGGAAATCAAACATTTAAAAAATTAGAAAGACTGATTTTGAATGACATAGAATTATCAGATTTTGGTATTAACCAGCTATCATTTGAAAGTATCAATCATCTTTTTATCTAAAACTTAGTGATTAATGGTGAATAAATTCAACAGATTAACAAATAGATTATACTCTTCTAATATATTGATAAAGTTGTAATACAGAACATTACTTTTGCTAATTGCCAAATTTATAATATAATGAATCTACTT